ATCGTTTGGCAGATTTTGAATGCAGATTTGAAATCAGCATCAAAAAATACGCGTAGCAGTGTAGGCCACATTTCAAACGGCCACTTCGACTTGGGCTCCTTCCCTTGTTAGTAAAAGTCGTAGATGACCTTCTTCGTGATATTCGAGATGCAAAGAGGGTTCCATGAGGATGACAAAGGAAAATCATTTCGGTCTTCTAACTGGCAAGGCTCCGACGTCCACAGGCGCCCATTTATAGGCTCAGAACCGGGGTAATGACGATTTAAAGTTCTTGGACCATTGCCCTTTGAGAAACTGCGTAACCACCGTACTCGATGTGCCGTTTCACGATCTCGCGGGCATCGAGGGCAAGCATTGAGCTCGGAAGTGCTTATATAGACCATTTCTCATGCTTTTGTATGTCTCTTGCTATCATTAGATGTTGTTAGTTATTACGTGCTACAAATTGCGTCTTTTATTATCTTTCATCAAAACTATTGACAATTCATTACCAATTTTTGCCATTAATATTGTCGTCATCTAATATCATACATAACCACCTGTGACAGAACATTCTTTTATAATTAGCATCATTAAAGCCTCGCTTTGGGAGAGCTGGGCTGTTTCTCTTGACTCCTTTCCCATGATAGGACACAATTCCAACCACCCTGTTGTGGAAGAGAGACACAGCGAATAGATTATAGCGGTTGTGAAACAGAAACAGAAATCGTCAATGAACTCTTAAGGAGATCGCTCTCTCAGCACTGTAGAGGAGATCAAGTAACTTCTAATCGAGGAACTCACTTTGCCAGGCTCTTGTTCCAGTCATCGCCGGTAACTCCTTTCGAGAAGAAAGGCTAGAACCCTGAATCCGATAGCGGGATCTTGAATGTTAGACGAGTTGGGTGCTGCCGAAAGCAAAAATAAAGAAACTTCTCTTTGCTGAAGTGGATTTGAAGATTGCAGGGCCTGATTGGAAAGGGTAGGTGCGTGGGGGAAAAATAACTCTCAATGCTACCCGATCTAATCGAAGGTACTAGGGCAGTATCTGTGTCGGCATGATAGGTTCAATCTTTAAAAGATTCACCTGAGCGCGGTTTATTCGAGAAAAAAAGACATATACCTCTCATTCTTCTTTATTCCGAGAAAGTAGCTCATTTGTAACCCTTCTGTAAAGGCACAATTCACGATAAAAATGGTTTTTGAGATTCCCCCCCCCCCCCCCCCCCC